GAGCGATTTCGACATGCGCGCGCGAAGCCTTTTTGGTCCCGTTTTCAGAAAATGTTGAAAGACCTTTTTTTTGTGTTGGAAAATTATTAGATATATATATATAATTCGCAAGACGCGCGCAAGTGTTTTTTTGGAAATCTGTGTTGCGAAATCATGTGTTCTTATGTTCGCTGGGGGCTCGATTTTCAAATCCTTACGGAACCTTGCTTTTTTGAAGAATGTCGGCATGCGCGCGCGACACTGCGCGCGTGCGCACTTCGTCCCATCTGTTGCAAGCGATTTTTGGAAATTGATTATTTTTGATAAACGAGTGCGCGCGCATAGCATTTGGTGCAGAGGATGGCGGGGGCGGTCAATACTGGTTCGGTTGAAATGGTATGGGCTCATTTGCTAGGATGGACGAGGGGGCAGAATGTATGTAAATTGCTATTCGAAAAGGGGAGCCGTTAAGTCCGGCCCCGGGCGGGTAGTGGATCCCCTCGCGGGTGCAATCTAGGTGGTGCAATCCGTGGTGCAAAACAATGCAAAGCAACGCAAAGAAGCGCGACGCAATGCAATGCAAAGCAATGGGAAACAGTGTAATGCGATGCGAAGCAATGCAACGCGATGCGCAACAATGCAAACCAATGCGAAACCTGCGGCGCAAAAAATGCAAAAGTTTGCAAATCAATGCAACGCGATGCAACGCAATGCGACAGAATGCAAGGCAATGTGAAACAATGCGAAACAATGCAAAACTTGCGATGCGAACAGGGGGGCGAATGGGACGACAACGGACGAGAACGGGGCCGCCGTGCCCGCAAGCGATTTTTTGTAGAAAAATGGGGCGGCAACGGACGATTACGGGTCGCCAGGCCTGCAGACGGGTCCAGTTGCTTAGACGAGAGGTGCGAATCCTAAGTGCTGGCAGCATTTTAGGAACCTGGTTTTTGTAGTAAAACGCATCACTCGCCCGCCCAAGTCATAGATCTTCATGTGAAAAACCCACATTGCAACTGTCTGGATTGGTAACGTGTTCCGATCGATAACAGCACTCACGGCCACTCGAATCTTGGCAATAATGTGCAGCTTGTGGGTGTGTGGGTGGGATGCGGGCTCGGGCGTTTCGGTTGGCGACTTCAACTTCTTCAAATGTTCCTGAACAGTGTTTGCACTTAGGGGCTTGTGCTTCTGGTCAAATGAACTGGGTCTGTGCATCGGTCTGGTGGCTCCGTGCCAGCCATCGCCGCCGATCCGTCGCCGCCCGTCGACTGGGCTTGTGTGTCGGTCTGGCGACTCCGTGCCGGCCGTCGTTGCCTCGTCGCCGCCCGTCGTCCGGGCCTGGGTGTCGGTCTGGCGACTCCGTGGTCGCCGTCGCCGCCTCGGTGCCATGTATTCTCCTTTCTTACAAGAGAATGAATTCTACCACCCTCCCGGGGGCGGAGTTATCGGCTCACTTCTGTCGTATTGTAATTTACATATGATTTTGCCCCATCGTCCATCCTAGATATGACTTCGCACCGTCCCAGGGGGGCCGGTATCCGCCCCCCCGCCATCCTCTTCCAAACATGCTACGCGCGCGCACTCGTTTATCAGAAACAACTTTTTTTTCAAATATCCCTGGCAACAGATGTGACGAAGTGCGTACGCGCGCGTCGTCGCGCGCGCATGCCGAACTCTTTAAACGAAAACTGTTGCTGTCGTAGGGATTTAAAAATCGAGTGTCGAACAACACATACAAAAACACAGGGGTTCGCAACACGGGTGTTCAACAAAAAGCTTGCGCGCGCACCCTCGCGATTTTTCACAACAAACAATTGGAGTTTTGAACCATGCCATAACATGATGCCAAAATGACTTCGCACGCGCGCGTCAAAATCGTTCGAACGCCCTTTCGCGCGTGCTGTCGCGAGAACCCTTGTTGCAACAAATGGGACGAATTGCGCGCGCGCTTCGTCGCGCGCGCATGCCACAATTCTTCAAAAACCTTCGGTTTCGTAGCTGCTTCAAAACCGAATGTCTAAAACAACATATAACAACACATGGTTTCGCAACATCAGTTTTCAAGAAAGCTTGCGCCCGCGCTCTTGCGAAGTCTTTCGCAACCCATAGGTTTTCAAGATTTCCATTGACTTTGGCCAAGCGGGCCTCTCGCGCCGCATGCCGAAATCATTCGCGCGCCTTTTGCGCGCGTGCTGGGGGGGGGCCGGGGGGGCGCGCGATCCGTGTCAAATCATACCATGCGGGCCACTCTCGCGCGTCGGCCGCGCGCGCACGTCGAACTCTTTCCAAAACCTTCATCGCCGACGCGAGGACGTCGTCATAGTCGTCGGCGCGATCAGCGTTTGCGCTGTCACTGGCCGCGCCGTCGTCTTTGTCAACGTCGCCACCAGCATCGCTACTATCATCATTGTGTCTACCGTTGTTGACGGTGCCACGATACCGCGCCCGCCCAAGTCGTCGACTCGCACTGCAGTGCCCGCTGGGATGTGCCCAGCGGTCAGCGCCACCGCGGCCGCGC